GAGGGAGGGAGGGAGGGAGGGAGGGAGGAAGGAAGGAAGGAAGGAAGGAAGGAAGGAAGGAAGGAAAAGAAAAGAAAAAGCCTGCAATAATCATAAAAAGTAGGTGGGAAATGGAAAGACAAGATATGAGATCAGTAGATTGGACCATACATCCTTCCTAAGCAAATATGATCGGAGGAGGAGGAATATGGCCCATTGCTATGCATACAGCTACGTATATGTATGTGTATGTGTATGTGTATGTATATGATGTATATATATATATATATAATACTTCATATACAAGTGTGTGTGTGTGTGTGTGTGTGTGTGTGTGTATGTATGAGCCTTTCAAATTCATACATTTAACCAAACTATGAGTGTGTTAATTTTTTGGAACAATTTGAAGTAAATATACAAGCTAAAAATATTATATATATATTGTGGGAAGAGTCAATGTCTTTGAAAACAATTAGTCAGCTCCTGACATCACTTCCTGACTATAAATATAAGAGGATACTCCCAAGTCAGACATGATTAAACATAAAAGTATGGCAAACTATTTATACTTTAATGCAAAGCACTAGTTTTCCTCATAGAATAAGCATATTGGTGATTTATCTCATACTTTGGGCAATAAGTACTACTGTCAAAAGACTTTCAGTCATTCAATTTAAGAAACCTTATAATAGCATACAGTTCTATTAGATGTTCTTGTTTGAGAAATCTGCAAAATTACATACTCTGTGAAGTTGAAAAAACTCAAAATATTACCAAATATAAAAAATTAAGATATGTTTCTTGTGAATACCCTTAATTAAGACTGATAAAATTTTCAAAAAATCATTAAAATGTGAATCAAGGCACTTGAAAATATGCTTCATATTAAAAAATATTGAACTGAATCCAGTGGAAGAGGACGACATAAAATAAATTGAAAGCCTTCTGGAAAAGCATTCAAAACCTTCAGGGTATGGAACCTAATCACAAGTTCAAAGACTTGTGGTTTGTAATGGAAAGTTAGTAGGAAAAAATAAATTATGTAGTTAAATATGTCACCCCTCAATGTGATATCTGATGTGAAAATTTATGCAGAAAAGTAACAAAAAGTATTAGAATAGTTTTAGAGGATCTAAAAAAATAAAAAAATCGTATAATACAAAAACTTATAATTCCAAACAAAATAATTATTTAGATCAATTTAATTGAAAAACTGTTTCAACTATTTCAAAATTCAAATGCCGTCTTTTCATATAGGAAACAAAAGTAAAACGCTAACTGTGTAGTTATTTCCCTTTTGCTATTTTCCATAAAATGAATGATAATATATTCCATGTGTATTAAAATGATATATGTGAGGAAACAAAACTTAAGCAAGTTCAACTTGTTGCCATTTCCTTAATAAGCCTACAAGATGCTGGCTTTCTGCTTTGTATTGTTTTGCTTAGTTCGTCTCACATGTGGGGAGTTTTTTCTTCTGTTTAGATGACAGTGCTCTTTTAGGCAAAAACATTTATTCTCAGAACATTAATTTTCTTTATCTCAATGTCAAGAAAGCATAGTTGGAAACTCAGAGTGTTAGAATCGAATAATCCTTAAATTAAAAGTATCTCTCTGAATGTCTCCACTCCATCCAGTAAGGGCGCTATGTTTACGCTTTGTTACTCCTTTAACTGTACGTCTAGTATGACTGAAGAGGTCAAGATCCTTTGCTGGAGTTCTGTCTGGTCCGCTGTGATCTCAATGATACAGTCTATTACTTTTGATTGCAATTTTCATTCCATTTAAAGAATGAAAGGACAGGAAACGTCTTCATCACAATAAGAAGCAGTGGAGAAATCTCAAACACCACAAAGCACAGCAGAAAGAATCATCAGATGGAGATGTTTATTTCGGGGTTGGGGGGATTAGAAACACAGGCACACACAGAAGACACAAACCCTCTATGCAAATCTGAGTGGGTACTTGGCAATCCAAACATCCAGGCCTTTCTGGAGTCTGGGTTGTTAAAAGACTCTAAAGGATGTTCCTCCTTTAATTTTTGGTTGGTCAGTTTAAAGAAATACAGTACGGTTGGCTGGCTTCCTACTTTTATGTCACATGTCCTGATCAGGCTTCACACTTCTTGACTCAGTGCATAAGCCTTGGGCCTGATGCTGGGAGACAAAATTCTACAAGGCCTTTGCTTTAAGCTGTCAGCTTAAGTCAGACTGCCTCAAGTCAGGATGAGGAAGAAGCTGGCCATCTCAGAATTTGGCTACGTTTACTACCGAGCTAAGCTAAGTAATAAACATCTCCCTGTCTGTCTACCAGGAAGTCTATCTAATTCCTAGTCAGTCACTAGCAGATGGGAGCCTGAGATGGAGGAGGGTTAGTCTGGGCTACATGAAGAATTAATTCTAGGCTCGCCTAAGTTACATAGTGAGATCTGTTCCAAAACAAAAGGAAAATATATTACAGATGAGTTTGCTACTTAAAAAAAAACCCAGGAATAAAGCTTCCGATAGTGTTTGTAATTTTTTATCTTATTGTGTGTGGTGGTTATATGAATGTGCATCTTATATCTGTAGAGAGAATCCTGGTTTCCTGAGACCACATCTGCATTGGTCATTGTGTGCTGACAAAAGAAAATGCTTTGCAGGAAGTTATTTCTGAGCAAGGAGTCCAGTCACTTTAGGATATCTCCTTGTATATTAACTTGCATTTCCATAAGATATAACCTTGAATGTTGTCCTCAGGACCTATCCTATCTCTATAAGACACTAATCTCTTTAATAACTTTAGTTGTTTCCAAACTTTTCTTCCCTGGATCTTTAAGCTCACTAGCAGATCCTTCCTGGCCATCCTTTACATCTTTAAAATATCTTCCTGCACCATATATTTTTTTTCTGGCATTGTTGATTGAGTGACAGCTTTAAACAGTAGCCACATTACAGCTTGACAGCTATTCTGTCTTGAGATTTTTCTCTACCTCCCGTGTCAGTCCATTATTAGTGATTTCTGCCTCAGTCAATGCTCAGAATACAGGCAGAATGAAGCCCTAGAGTATTATGCCCAAGCATAATTCAGGTGATTTCTGATACAGTTCTGGAGAGAATGCTGATTCTCTTCTGAAATGTCATTATCTGAGCCTCTCACCTGGTGTCCTGATCTTCCCAGTCCCTATTGGAATGGCACACTTAGCCCTGCTTACAGAATAAGAAAGGGGTTTTTCTAATGCTGTATTCTCATCTCTTCCACACCGCCCCCCCCCAACCAGTTTATCACTGCAGCAGCTCAGCTCCTCAATACCCACTCTGGTGCTCATCACTTTCCTTGTTATTCTGACAAAGTATTTGATATAAGCTTAAGGCAGGAAAGATTTATTTATTTCTCAAAGCTCAACAGTATAGTCCACATTGTTGGATAAGCCATAGGACTTAGAAATTGTTTTCTTTTGTTACAAGGGTCACTAAAGCACCTGTTCCTTCTTGTATTAGTTTCTCCCCATAATTAATAAGATCACTTACATTGCTGCCAGTTTAGCTCGTCACAGGCACCTAAGGTAGCTTCTTAATGCCACATATACTGGATCGTTCTGCTATAGATTAATGCTGCCAACAATTCAACTATTATAATGACAGAGAAAGTGTCAATCTATGTAGTGAATTATAGAACTAAATTTTATCCCCCTCCAGAAATCCTATGTCTCTTGTAAGTTTGCTTCTCTTTTACTTGACTTCAGGTAAAATGACAACTAATTCCAGCAAATTAGCCAAGTGTACTTCTGCTTCAGGGTCTTATCGCTTACTGCCTCTCAGGTGTTGTGCCTCCATTTCTCCAGAATCCCAGGGCTTCCACTCTCAGAATGGTTTAGTTGCATGATCAACTAAAAGAAGTACTCTTGATCATTCTATAAAAATTCTCAACACCCATGCCAACCTCACTTTTAAGAGATATGAGCCATTATAGAGTAGGCCAGGGTACATTACTCCGGTTGTAGGTTATTTTATTATTGTTAATCATTCCATTCGTTTACATCTCAAATGATATCTCACCTTCCAGGTTACCCCCTCCAC